TTTGAGTGTAGATTTGTTAAAGGAGGTGTTATTTTCGCCAGAAAGTCTTTGCTGTAGTGTGCCAAAATACATTTATTGGTGAGAAAATATTACACATTTTTATTCGCAGGACTCTGGACCTTTTACGTATTTAAACTAAAAGCAGATGTAACAAACTCGGGTGTTTAATTCCAAAAGATATAGATTCTAGTTGAGTGCACTGTATGTCCCAATTTACAACTTCTTTCCCTTTATACAGCAAAGATGACGGAGAACACAGTGATCTGACACGTATTCCTGTCCCAGCCCAGCTCTATAAGTGGTGCTCTCCTGAAGTAGTTCTTGAAAAAGTTATCACGGTCAAATCGGATATTTATAGCTTCTGTACTGTGGTGCAGGAGGCCTTGACAGGTATATCTATAGGTTTAGGCTTTTGTCACTCGGGTAACCCACTGAATGTTTTCCTTGCAGACTGTGAGCCTCCTAATGTCTGTTTAATTCCCCTGTGTGACTGGATAGAACCTTGCTGTGATGGGTCATACAGAGTTAACTTGGAAAAAGAACCCTCCAGGCAAAAAAAACAACCTCAAATGTTAATGACAATAGCAAAGACTGCTGGAAACTTTTGTAAAATGTAATCAGAAAACTTAAAATTGCATGACTAAAGGATGAGATTAATGGTTGGTATTAGAGAGACACAATTTTGTGTATGGTGTTTTTCTGCTATTTATCTTTATTCTTCATATGAGGATAGCAGAACATTCAATTAGCTCTTTGCAATGTACAAAATGAGGCTGTGCAGCTTTCATCTTTCTGATCACTAAAGTACATTATCTGTAATAACAATACATTATCTGTAAGTTATGTTATGTATTGACTGTGACTATTTTGATGGTGAAATGGGATAAATAATTACCCTAAGCATTAAACCCTCTATTAACTAGCTGGTAATGAAGAATTCAGAGCGTGGTTTACGGTGTAACTGTCCTCTAGAGATGGCTGTCAGCTCCCTTTAAAGCATCCACTGTTGAAATAAGATAGGAAGGAGACGCCAGACTGGACTGAGTGCTCGTTTGGTTCGTGACAGTGGTTGTAAATTAGGGAATGTGCAGACAATAATACTTTAGTGTCTCTGATTCTTTCTCTTTTTTCTTTGCTTTCATTAACATTGATACACAGCTTGTGACATAAAGTCTATATTTATGTCTTGCAGAGACCCCTCCCTGGAAAGGTTTTGAAGATTCAGCTATTAAACAGCTCATAATTTCGGGACAACAGTTAGAAGCAGATGTCAGACTTCCTATGCCCTATTACGGTATCGTAAAGTCAGGGCTAGAACCTAAACAGAAGAACCGCTCCATGAAACTTCAGGATATTCAATACATAATGAAAAATGACTTAAAGGTGACTTCCAGGATTGTGGCCTTTCACACATTTAAAACGGCAGTTTTGTGTCCCTTCAAATTCAAGTTGCTCTACTTAAATCTAGGTGGGAGGTAGTCTAAACGTGGAATATCGTTTTCTGACCATGGAGGCAAACCACTTTAAAAGAGAATGTAGAGACATTGAACAGTCGAATATAGTCATCTTTAATTCCATTTTTGTATTACAGGACTTAACTAAGTCTCACACTGTTCATGCTGATGAAATGTCAAAAGCACAGAGACCTGCTGTTTCTGCAGATGTGAACATCTGTTTGGCATCAGCTTTTAGCTACCAGAAGAGAACACAGGAATTGCAGGGAGAAGAGATGATCGAGGCTGGTGAGTTCCTTCTAGCAAGATGTCATGTGTCCTTCACTCAGCATGTTCCTCGGTCCATAAAGGTCTAATATAAATAATTAAAATGTGAGCGCTTACACATTTTATGACGTAGTTTGAAAATAGAAAGCAGTTAGCTTTGGATTCTAGGTGCCACCCTAATTGTTAATGTAAACTTAAGACTATAAGTCTGGTTAATATTTGAAGTTCAGGCACGCTGTTTTCAGCAGAGGTGTTAAATGCTGCTTATGTAATCTCTAAAAGACGTTAACTCCTAAGTGTACGAAAGCAGGGTGTTTGATGGACATCTGGAGAAATAGCTTAACACTTATATTTTTCAGCCAGCTCTACTGCCCCAAGATACTCTCTCATTCCTGAGGAGAACAGTGCTTTAGTTGATCAAGAGGCATCGATCAGTCTACAGCCAGTTGCACAGGACAAAAGTGGTGATGTAGCATCTGAACTGCAGACAACCTGCAGTGTCAGTGATGTGGATGACAGTCTCTGTAGCTTTGAAAACAATGAAATCTTCGTCAGTTTTCCAGAATGTCACGAAGATTTCCTGGAAGAAGAAGCTGGGTTAGGTCAAACTCTAAAAGATGAAAAAAGGCAACAAAAGGAAGAAGATAAAGCTATCCTCAGAGACCTCTGTGCATCCCCTGGAGTGCACTGTGAGGAAAAGCTGGTTTATGAGGAAGGTGGCTTTTCAGAATCGGGTACAGAGTGCACTGCGGAAGAGGAGGAGACAGTAAATGAGGGCTCTGACCTATGCATGCTGGCACAGGTGAGAGGAGATGCTGGGATAAGAATGGGTAGTCCATCCCAAGAGGAGCAGTACATCGGGAAATGTGTTCTTGATTTAAAGATTTTACAAAGCATGTTGCGTGAGGCAGAAGATTGCCTGCACCGAACAGAGGAGAAACTGGACAAAATAGAGGCCATTAAGAAGCAAAAGAAGCTGCTCCAGGAAATCGGAATGAATCCACTTTCTAAGCAAACTTGTCAAGAAGGACACTGGGACACATCTGATGGTACTTCCCAAAATCTTTTTTCTGGAGTTAATAGTTTTTTATGGAAGGCTATAGGTCCGCCATCAAGTGTCTATATTCCACCACTGATAACATGTCAGGCACAAGGAGCATTAGGTGGAGACAGTTTCCAAGCTGTTTCAAAGGCAGCAAAGGAAATGGAGGCAACTCAAAATGAAAAGTCAAAGTGGTTTCATGAGATGAGTAAAAGTGAAAACAACCATCATGATCTCAGCTTCAGTGTGGTGAAAAGCCTGGACGATCAAATGAGCCTAGACCATGAGGTAAAGTGTTGAGCAGGGTAACTGTGTTTATCACTCCTGTATACTTTAGCAGGTAGAGACGTTAGTTATGGATGGTGTCTAAGAGGAGGGATGAATCTATCTTTTAAGATATATGCATATACTATATGCATTATATATAGGAATGAAAATAGTTCAGCAGTGCAATAGTATTATTTCTTCTCTCACCCCCAGCAAAGTACTCATCCAGTGGCTCAGGAGGGAATAAAATCCTGTACTAAAATGGAGATGGGACTGTCAGGAAAAAGGGCAAGTTGAGATAGATTTTTGTTTGTATACTTAGTTATGGAGATCTAAGTTGTCATTAGTAAGGGCTTCTAGATAATTTTCATTATTAAATATAAGTAGTTGACATGCTTAGCCCAAAGAGAAAGAGAGAAATTCATGTATGTGTCTGCTGTATGAGTAATCTTGAGTCATTTAGGTCCACTCATTCCCCTGGGAACTACGTGTTATGATAGTCTGCCTGCGTACCCATGAAACCTGCTATAAATCCAGGGCAGAGTTTTTACTAGGCTAAAGCTTGGAGTTGTCATTCTTTCTCATAAGCAGTGCTACTAAAATATAACCAAGGGAATAAAGTTTGCACTGTCTGGTTCTTAGTCTATCTCGTAGACAGCTCAACTAGTAATTACCAGGATGCCCAACTTGTGCTGAATCATGGCTTGTTGGACTCATTTCAGCATTTACTCCCACATGTATCTGTAAGATGCAGAAAAAAGTTCAACTTGCAGTGTCAGAGAGGAGGTGATTCACATTCTGCAGCAAGTGGAAGTGAAGAAGAGAGGTGGTGAGTTTTGATTGTATTCACGGAAGAGTTAATTCTAGCAGATTCCTCTTGATACAGCCACTGTCAAAGGTAGACACGTCCAGGATCAAGGATGGCATTAAATGTTTTTTTCAGTAAGCCAAAAGCCATCTGTCCAATTAGGACCCTACTGTGAGTCATTGTCAGCTGCAGAGCTGACAGGGTAACTGCTGCGACAGGGCAGGTACTTTTCAAGAGCGATGTTCAGATTCCGGATGCATCTCTGATGGAGGTCAGTGGTCCAAAACTGTAACGGTGCCCGCAGAGAGCAATCTAATAAGTTACTAGTAAGGGTGGTTCTCCTCTCTGTGGGCAGCCTCATTCAATTCTCAGTATAAATACTTTGGCTTTCATAGGTGTAAGACTAGGGCCTATGTTAGGGGCTGTAGGAGCAGAACAGTCTTGCTAAACCCAGTGGCAACAGAGCATACATTACTTTGTTATGTTTGCTGTGCTTTTTAATGTTGTCCCTTTATATTTCTAAGTATGGGTGGAAAGTGCATGTTAAAAGTACCTGGCAAAACTTGTGGAAATTAACATCTCTTATTAGTTGGAAAGTTGGGGACAGGCGACTCCTTCAACATTTGGGTCAAATCAGTCAGGAAAACTGTTCCAGTTTTTAAGTTGATTCATAATCCAGCTGGATCAGTAAGACCCACTAGTAAAGCACATATTTGGTTAGAACATAAATATGCCAGATGCTGACATGTGGTTAGATGGTCAAGTGAACGAACTCTAGATTGGAATTGGGTTGTTGGTGGGATTGTTGTTATCCAAGTCTGAAGTTCTGAGTATCTTAAGTTGCCCACTGATCACCTTACTGACTTGAATAAAACAAATCTCCATAGCATTCATTGTCTGTTCGTGTTTATATATCATCTGAAGGCAGTTGACAGCTTTTGAAATCTAGATTTTAATGTATATCTCGTCTGGTTAATCTATAATAGACCTAAATAACTGTCTGTGCTTTCTAAGCTTCCGATGGCTCAATCTGCTAGTTCTGTTGGGTTCTTAGAGCGTATGTGTTCTCAGCTTTTTAATTAACATTAAAGCAACTTCTAGCCTTTTACTGACTGGGGAATACTTAACACAATATGCTTGTGCATTAACGGAGTTTGATTTCATAACAATTTATTATAGGTGCTATCCAAAACCAAGATATGAAATTTCCAGTGCAAAAATTAGTGAGGAGAGAAAGATGATGCAATCAGAATGGAGGAGTAAGTAAATCAGTGTTAAGTCGGTATTAATGTTAGCAAGTCTTAGCGCAGTGCAGTACATTAAAACTTAACATGTTTTGTTACTTAAGAAAGGTCTGCGTGTGTGCCTTAATTGCTGAAGCTCTGTTAGGCTGCTCTTGGATGAAACCCAAATGAGTAGGATCCTGTCTTGCACGTTCAGGGCATAAAATAATCACAACCACATGAAGATGGTTTGATTATAAAGCTCAAAGAATTTCTAGCCCTGTTTTGCAGGATGTAAGGGAAGCGTATGAATTTTGAACGGGTAGTATAGCAGTGACCAGTGGATGGCAGTACAGGCATGAGTAACAGAGAATGCAAACAAACAAATTGTTCCTGTACAGACTTGTCCGCATCAATTTATGCAGGTTTTAAGCTTTCCTTAAAATGGAAGGAAGTACTTAGCTCCTTTCATGGTAAAGGAGCTTACAGGCTATAGCTTTAGCATTTCCAAGTCTGCAGACACAATGCAAAAACAGGGAATGCTTTGAAGGTCCAGATTCTGTTGTGTGAACTGGTAATTTTGTTCTTTTTTACAGCTGAAGTAAAGCGAATGGCCAGAAGAGTGGCCTCAGGACAACTAGCACTCGGCTTGACATATCCAGCCAGTGAATGTACATCTGAAAGTGAAGCAGAGAGTATAAAGGAAACCTTTCAACATGTCACTGTTAGAGTCCAAAAAAGTCAAGATCAACAAAGACATGGGTGGCAGGCAGGTGATAATGTTGAGTCTTGGGATCTGGGCAGTGAGGATAGATCTGAGTCTGAGGAGAGTGATCTGGAGTCTGCATTCAGAAGTTCCGGAGGTAAGGTTGAAAACCCATAATTTCTTCTCTTTTGGTCTCTCTCCATCTCCCAGCAGATTTCAGCTTCTGTGATTTTGTTACAATAATTGTCAATTTTATCTTCTAGAGCCTTGCCTGCAAAGCAGGTCAATCACTCAGTCATTGGTGAACATAAATAATAGACTAAGATGAGTGTTACATGTTAATAGGTGAAGATAATGTCCAGTGAGCTTGGAGACCCTTCATTGTCATTGGTTACCATGTACCAGCATGGGAGCCCCAAGGCTTTCAAATCCACAAGTATGCTTTCACACTGTCTTTTTTTCAACTGGACTACAGAGATGCTTTTTCTGTAGCACCATAGTGGGTAGTGCTTTTGTAATAGTTATGAACAGAGGAACAAGGAAAGCTTCACATGCCTAGATTAACGATGTGAGCATTTAAATGTCATTATTTCTCCAGGCTCCTGACAGACAATGTAGTTTTACCGTCTACTCTCATTGATATTCCATCAGTGGTTTAGATCACTCACTTCATACTATTTTTTGCCTAATAATTTTGTTCCATTCTGACATCCTAGGGAGAAGTTGCCAGTCACCATCCCAAGATGAACAAGCGGAGTCTGGAATAGCCATTCATAAGAATTCAGTCCTTCCTCAACAAGTTGAGAATCTCTCTAGTTGTGGTTTGGGCATGTATAGTAAGCCAAGAAATCTAGTTGCAGCTAGTTATCTGTAAAACAATTTAGCCTGGTCTCTCCGTGTTGCACACTGAGCTACCTACCAAGGCAGCTGATCTTTTCAGCTGTGATCTGACTAACAGTCCCCCGCCCCTTTTTTTTTTTTTTGGTTCTGTGAGCCATCAAGGCAATGTAAGGAGCCGGAGGCTGGTTGAAACACAGAGTGATCAAATTAAGTATAATTTCAATTTGATGCAGTATTGTTTAGCATTAATGACTAAAATGTATATTCTTTAATAGAGAGTGGAGAAAGCATCTCAAATGATGATGTCTTTCACAGGGGCATTCAAGGGAATTACATTGTTAATTCATCTCCTGATGTATCTGAAGAATTCTTGACTCCTAATTCTGATTATTTCCTTCCTCCTACTACTCAGGGAAGTTCAGAACAAGAGGTAATAATAACAGAAAAGACAGGAATGAAGTCTGTGGCAAGAACTTTGGACGTAAGTTACACAACGTGGTTTTGTTATGCTCCCATTTGATTTGAAGAAGAGCTGTAGAAAATGGAACAATGACAGGTTTTATTCTTTTCTTTTGAAATACTATCTACAAATAAAGATTTATCTAAAAGTAAGAAAATTCTAACCTTGTTCCTTTAAAACACACTCTCTGGCCTGAAAAAAACCTAACCAAAACAAAAAAAACCAACCCAAACAACTGAAACCCCACAAACACCCAGACTCCCACAACACCAGGGGCTTGTTTTCTTAATTTGTTTACGAGGAAATAACATAATCTGTGGCTAAGAAAATTTTTAGGCAGTTGATAATCTCAGGCCTTCCTTTACAGCTCTATCAATTATAGTACTCAATAGTCTTAAACCAATCTGCATTAATTTCTTGAAGATTTGAAGCTATTGTGTGGACTATTAAATCCAATCCATGCTGTTCACTGATAAACTCTTGAAAAGTTTGTCTCTTCATTCTGATTATTGTGAACATCGTCCTGTGAGAGTTGTCCTACCCTTCACGGACTGCCTGTGAGAAATTGAATCCACTTCCTTTTTTCCCCTCCTTCAGATATCAGATGCTGAGAGCAAATTAGAAGGATGTTTACAGAAACAGTTACCTGAAGATGCAGGATCAGGTATGCAGGTTTCAGGTGAATGTGCTCGTCCTTTTTCAGGTAATATTGAGTCAGGGAGACAGTCTTGTTGCACTTACATTTTTGTCAGCAGCACTCCTGTCAGAAGGATGGAGCTTGGTTCTTCAGGTCACTTGGTCTCTTATTCCTCATTATTTTAGTGAGAGTTCAGGATGCTCAGGATTTTGGAAGGTGAGGTTTGGGCATTGCAGTCACTGAAATACTGCTGAGCGTGATGATTATGTACTTGCTGTGTTTCAGTTAAAAAACCAAAACTTATTTGCAACCTTTTGTTTGTTGGTTTGTTTTTTACCCTAGGGCTTAGTTTAATCTTTTTATGCAACTTGCTATGGTGCTGGAAGCTAAATTAGAGTTGTATTTGCACATTAATATTCTTATTGCTAGAAGGATCTTGAGCTTGAAAACTGTAAGAGCTGACATAGTGTGTGTGCAGAATAATGGAAGGATCATCGTTGTTTCTCTAGTCTGTTGCCTCTCAGCTCCAATTCGTAAATGTTGCGGTATTCCCCAGTGCTTCAGTGGTTGACTGTCTGGCAGCTGTGGTATGTTTATGAAAATTCATCTTTAAAACACATTTGTCTCTTGACAACAACAAAGGTCACAAGAACTAAAAAAATTTAATAAAGTTGCAATTTCCTGTTCAATGAGTTGTGTCACTTTCTTTTGTACTTGCAAAACCCAATAACAGGGAACATTTGGTATTTGTATTCAGGAGGAAGAATACTATTCTGCAGCACAGTGGCGCAGAACTCTGGCAGTAACACGCTAGGAGTGGATCAACTTAGCCATATGCCTGTAGCCAGGTAGATAGACTTACTTTCATCATTACTTGCCTAAATCAGGTTATAAAGTGTGCTCTCTTTATTAATTCTGCTTATATATCTATTATTCAAATAAGATGCCAGGGGTGTTTTTTAATGATTATCTACATATTATAGTTCCTTGCTAAGAAAATAGTAAAAGGACTTTCACAAGTCTCATGGGGTTTTGTCTTTTACAGTGTTCGGGTTTGGGTTGGTTTTTTTGGTTTTTTTTTGCTTAATGAGGTAACTAAAATAGGAAAAATAAGTCATGTATATATTACGATTCCTTTTACACTGATAAACTACAGTCTTAAACAGAGCAAAGATAATTCAAATTAAGGCTTCAGTCATCTGTTTTAATTTTGTTGTGCTTTGGTTTTGGAGCTGAAGTGGAATGAAGATCATGCTTTTCCCCCTCCTGTGGGAACAACCCAATGCAAGTATGCTCACTGTATCTTGCCTGCAGATAACATTAGCCCATGCTTGGAGACTTGCAGTCTCATCTGTCAAATGTGAGATGTTTATATCCAGTATTTTTTTAAATTTTATATTCTACTAGTATGCAGAGATGCTGGCCAGAATCACCACCTCATGCTGCAAGGGGTACTGTAATTTAAAGAGAAACAGTCCTCGCCTTGAAGGTCTTTCAGCAATGGCTTCCAGGCTTCTTAAAAGCCCCTTCCCTCCCTGTAGCTCAGCTTTTGTTGTGTTCCTGCAGAGTTAGCAGTTGCTCACTTTCTCCAAGTGAGAGCGAGATATGCTTATACTTTGTCTGTGTTGTACTTTCCCCTCCACTGGAGGAACTGACTTACCAGTGTCGAAGGTAGGCAGCAAGTGTGTAAATACTTGGCCTTAAGGTAAAAAGTAATGGTTTTGGTTGCTTCCTTCTCTTGGGAACTGAGCTTTTGCCAGCAGGGCAGAGAGCACTGTTGCCCTCTGACCATCTGATTGATCCCCTTTGAATGCCTCCATGACCTTCGATGGGCTTGGTACAGTTTGAGGGAGTAGCTTACAATGCAGACCAGTCAAAGGATGATACAACAATGTAGTGATGTATGTTGGTAGGCTTTTTATTTAACTTTCAGTTTTGTTTTGAAATGGCGTATGTCAATTAGAAGTTTTCTCCTCACCAGATACAAATCCATAATGTGGTTAAAATGGCATTTTTCTCAGAGAGCGTGCGCTCTCTCCATCTTCGAAGGTTTTAAGCAAAAAGTTTTCATGAGCTGCAGTCTACCTCAGAGAGAAGGTAGTCCTTTAAACTTTGAGAGGAAACGAAATAAATTTATTTTCATCATTTTCTGATAGGATCAATGAATATGACCTTTCTTCCCTCGTTCTAGTGTTGAAGCAGCACAGGAAGTGATACTGTGGGAGCCACGAGAGGAATCCAAAGAAAAAGATGTGTAGGAGCCGCAGACTGTTTTATACAAAACTTTAGCAAGTTGGTCATTATCATTGTATAAGTTTTGTGTTGATGCAAACTAGGAAGATGTGACAGACCAAAGCTGAGAGAGAAAAAACTATTTGAAGTATTAAAAGATTTTTTTTCTTGTGATAAGTTGGGAAATGGGTATAAAAGAGCTGTCACATAGTTGTCCTTAGTTTGAAATTTTTTCATACTCGTAAGTAATTAACTTAGTGTAATTTGGGTGTACTTCTTCCTATTAAAGTGTTACAATTTCTTGTTTCTTCTGTCCATATATAGAAATATAGAAATAAATAAAAGCAGTTTAAAGAGCAAATCGTTAGTATGTAGCTAAATAAAATTTATTACAAAAATAATTTTGTGATTGAGATTCTCAGGAAAAATTTGCAGAATAGGTTTCTGACTTTACTAGTAAAGTTAGTTTCTTTTTACAGATAAGGGAGATTTGCATAGAAATTACTGATTTGGTAACAGTAGACTTCTGTTCATTTCATGGTCTTCTGAGGACAGTGTAATCCAGGGTGTATCTACAGAAGATGTTGGTTTGCTTAATATAATCCCAGTCTTACAGCCACTTAAGAATTTTTGTAACTTGAGCGGACATCGCTGCCCATGCAGATCTTGAGCAGTTTTACTTTATCTGCGTAATTCTTTTAAAGGCTCCTAAGACCTGAATGTAGTCTTAATGGGATGGTTAGTTTTTGTTAAACCTCCAAGTTTCCCTTGGCTTTGGAGAGAGTTTTCTACCTAGTGGTTCACATCTGAAGTTCTTGCCCTTTCTGGAGGCAGTTTCCTGAGCTTGCTTTTATAGGACAATTATTAAAATGAACAAATCCTGTAAAGGAGGGGAAAGCAAATAATTAACCTTTTCTGTCTCTGTAAGATCATTGAAGATGGTGATCGTTAGCCTTCCAAGAATTCTGTGGGAAGTTTTCAAAGGGAATGTCTCTCTTCCTTCTGAAAAACTAGATAAGACTGAACAAAAGTAAAATTTAAAGAATCTGAAAATAGCAGAGTTTAGTGATTCACAACTGCAAGAAGTGGCTATTCTAACAGTCAGCATCTTTCAATACTTCAGATCAGTGACGGATATTCAGGATTTGTCGAGTATCCCCTACGAGCAAGACAACTACTACAGAGATATAGATTGTAAAACGCCCAGGGCGAGTCATGCACCAACAAGCGTCAGCACTCCACTCGGCTCAGGTAACTGCAGAGGAGGGGAAAAGGGAAGACCAGTGAATTACTTAACCTTTCTATGCCAGGAGTCAGACCTTTCTGCCAAGACTTGCTAATGTAAAAATCATTGATGTGAATCATGGAAACTCCATTCACGTAGTACCGATGCAGAAATGTCAGGCTTGGAATAAGTAACCACAAGAAATGCTGTACCTGTTGTTTGAAATCTCATTGTTTTGGTCTGGATAGTGACAACTTTGTAGTTAGAGCCTGTTTGGTCAAAAGAAATCACTAACAGAACTGAAGGAGAATTTACAGGGACACAGCTGAAAAAAGCCACTCTCTGAAAGGCCTCTGACAGATAATTACTTGGTAGTTAATGGTAGCCTTCATAAATGAAAAATTGTTTTAGACATTTAAAATTGTAGTGATACATGTAGATGTTTAACATTTTAAAGACAGACAATGTAATAAGTACTTTGTATGTTTTGAGTGTTGATAAAGTGATCTCAATGTTTGTTGAACTTAAGTGTTTAAGAGCAGTGAATTATCATTTGCTTTGTACTTTCATTAATTTGATGTAATACAGTAGTCAAAATGTCTCAGTTGGCAAAGTTTTGCATAAATAATATCTGAGGTGGAACTCCTAGGTAATCAGTTTGGACTTCTGTTTAGACATTATTTATGGACAGTAATTTCTTAGTTTCCTGTCCACGTGCCTGTTCAAATACAAGAAACCTTTTTCTGTTTCTGTTGAGATGTGTCCAAGGTACAAAAAAAATCCAAAAATAATTTTCCAGCTTTGCTATCATCTTTTTCTTTTCTTTTCTTTTTTTTTTTTTTTAAATTCTAGAAGAAAAAATTCCAATAGCCTTTGAGAAATACAAGGACTGCCATGAAGTACCTTCAGATTCTTCCTTTTGCGGTTCTCAAGAGATCTCCTCTGCAGTGTCCAGGACATTCACTACAGCCTATGAAGAGGGAAGGAGCACTGAGGTTTCCTCTGTTGCTTCAGGAGTTTGCTCATCTGAATTGAATGAGCCTGTGAGTCTGGAAAACTTACCTTATGCCAGCCATGCTTTAAAATATTTTTTAAAAAAATACTTTTGCTTAAAATAAATGCAAGATGAGAAGCACAGAAATGCTTCTAGGTCTTTGTGAGTATTTTGGAATCCTGGATCTGTTGACATAATTACAAAATGATTTCAAGGCAGTGTGTGCCACTGATTATACAAAGAGTTGGCTTCCCCTTACACCTAATTGTATGTAAATGTTGACCCCCATGAAAGTGGCCTTGCCTGCCTCCATCCTTTCCCTGGCTGTAAAGAATTGCCATTTGCCAACATTTGATCTGGTAATCTTGAATCACCAAAGTGATAAGTATCTGTGAAACGGTTGTGTAGAAAAGCTATGTTTTTGTTGGGAGAGGGCGAGGTTGATCAGTTGGTCTTCTGGTGAGGCAACGGC